GGCTAAGTGGGCTGGGGTGAAAGTGAAGCCCCAGGACTCAAACCTAAGCACTTCACCCCACCCCAGCACGGAGATCCCACGACGGAGATCCCGCGACCGCTGGCCATTTCTGCAGCTGGAGTTCCTCCAATGCAAACACCCATACGGGGTAAAGGTCCCCAGTCCGTGGTTGCTTTTGGTTACGTCCTTCCGGGTTGTTTGTAGAGGATTCCCGGCCTCTCTTTTCATTGATCTGCTAATGACAATTACTTTGCTTTGTTAAAAAAAAAAAAAAAAAAACTCAGGCCCAACCCACACAGGGCATGGAAAATGCCGGTACCTGTACCGGCCGTGGAACTGATGATGTTCCGGGCTGTGTGCGTGTGTGTGTGTGTGTGTGCGCGTGTGTGTGTGTGAGAGAGGGAGAGAGAGACAGAGAGAGGGAGAGAATTTTCTGCTGGGGAAGATTATTACGACTGCGGAGAGGATTTGGAAGATGATTACGACTGTGGAGAGGATTTGGGGACGGGGGCGTGGGAGGAAGAGGGCGGGCGGGCGCTGTTGCCCGTCTGCAGCGGGCGACAACGTCGTGTCAGGTCATCCGATCGTGGTATTCAAGTCCCATTTCATTTCCTTGTCACAGCTGACGGAGGAGAGTGAACAAGCGATAGCCGAGGGACAAAGGGAACGGACAGGGAGGCGAGGGATGACGGGGCCGCTTGCCTGGGCGTTTCTGAAGGAAACACGTGTGTGTAAATCATCTAGACTCTCCAGTCCTAAAAACGAACCTTTTGTTTTTAAAGTAAACGTGCATTTGCATCGTTTATTACCCTACAAATTATGTAGGGTTTCCAGTTATGTACATAGCCCTAGATGGTAATATGCTCTGACAGAATTGCCCTTGTAACTCCAGTGCATACCTACCTGCCTCTAATCACCCATCGGCTGGAAATAGAGAGAGGTTAGGAGGGCGATTGAGGACAGCGGGGTTTGGGATTACAAGATCGGAGAAGGTGGTGATGATATCGACGAGCTCAGGGAAGGTGGTTGGTCCGTCGATGGTTCTGCGTGTACGATAGGTCACTATCTTTAGCCTGATTAATACGGAACTTATCAGCGTGATGTTGCTATAGTGGGAAATCTCATCTCATCAGCGTCGCCAGCAGATAAAGACCAGGAGGACGTTATACAAGTCCACAAACTGTTTAGGGAAAGATGGGAGATTTAGATAATATCCGATTTGTTAGGTGTAGCAAACGGACTCAAGGGAGTGAAGAAACAGAAGGACGGGGGTAGCCTTGGAGCCGAGGTCTGTTTAGGTATCATGTTGAAAGTGAACCTTGGCCTATCGTCTTTGTCATTGCTCCCTGCTTCTCACTTTCCTCTCGCGTCCTCATTGCCCTTGTCCCTTCTCCTGCTGTCGGCTCTCCTCGTCGTTGACAATCGACTAACTGTCAAAGCTGTCTTTTCACCGTGGGAGCTTGGAGAGCGGTGCCCTGTATTCTCGACACTTATCCCGTTCTGCTCTTCGTGTTTCTTACCTCGTCTTCAGTTCCTACGTTACGCTCTGCAAATTTCTGTGTGTGTCTCTCTCTCTCCCTCTCCCCTTCTTTCTTCTTGCCCTTTTTGTATGGTATGACATTGGTTCTGAAGTCTGCGAGGGTGCTCTTGTCTTCTATCATTTTTCTGTGTCCTTGTTCTGCGAATCCGCCGTTCAGTTTGATAGAGCTGTTTGGCCGAGGTGCGGAGAAGTTTCTGTTGCTGTTTAATTAGTAAACAACAAATAACTCGTCGAACCGTTTTCTAGGAAACGACAAAAGCGAGTTGTTCGGCAAGATTGTCCAAGTGCTAGTATGGCATAAAAGGAAGGTCGAAAAAAAAAAAGTTAGGTCCGTGGGCGAGAGAACATCGACACCGCTCTCTTTGGAATCCCCGAAAACGCTGGCAGCTGTCACACCATCATCGTTCACCTCCGCGCAATCCCTGCTACGTCCTTCCCAAACAACATGTTGGCTCGCTTCTGGCTGATGGAAACAACGTATTGCGATGGTCAAATGGCTTTCAGTAGGTAAATATCCTCCCACTTCCTCTGTTTCGCTCCCCCTCAGCGACGCGTAAATGTGTAAGCCTGGCGAGACGTATACACACCCAACCACGCAGACCAACTCATCTCACTCTTCGCATACACCTAAAGTCACGCAGGCACACACAGAGAGAGAGAGAGAGAGAGAGAGAGAGAGAGAGAGAGAGAGAGAGAGAGAGAGAGAGAGAGAGTCAAGGCTATCTCTTTCCGCGCAGCGAACGACAAGAAGCGACTGCGACGTTTGTGAGTGAGGAATACAGATAAAAGCATCTTCTAGAAGCCACGAGGACGTGCTGGAGTTAGAAAGAAGGGGAGGAAGGACACAGTACTGGCAGAAGAGAGAAATTTAATACGAAAACTTGCTCGTAACATAGGGGAGTGGGCCAGTTGATGGAGCGCCGGGAGGGGGAGGAAAGAGAGGGAGTGAGAGTTCGAGGATATTTATCACGGCTAGTACACCAAAAGAGGAAAATTGTCCGGACCAATGACACGACTTGATAGTCATTCGAGAGAGGAAGGAGTTGCTCTGAGGAGAGGGAACAAAGGGAGCGTTGACAAAGGGAGGAACGGGGTTAGGACTCAGGAGCCTGATTTAGAGTGACAGGAGCGGTGGGAAAAGGGAAGAGGTATAACAATTCGCAGTCCACACAACGACAGAGGGTGAGGGAAACATAGTCTAGGAGATGAAGAAAGCGCTGTCGCGAGGGTTAAGAGTAATAACAGGAAACGATCCCCGGGGAGAAAAGAAAATGGAAAGACAGCTGTCACGTTCACAGTCAAGTCGCTTATCGACTGACGACCTCCCAGTGGTGGAGGTGGATTCCAACGAGATGGTCGACGTGAAAGCGCCACCTCGCATAGCGATTGATCTCGGTACTTCTTCTTGCCGGGTGGCGGTGTGTCGCAAAGGGAGGGTCCAGGTCATACCGGACCTGTTCGGAAATCTCACAACTCCGTCGGTTGTTGCCTTCACGGACAAGAAGCGATTTGTGGGTGAGCAAGCACAGAAACAAGCGCTGCGGACACCGGAGAACTTGCTTTACGAGGTGAAACGATTGATGGGAAGGGATTATGACTCGATCAGAGAGGTAGAGAAGAAATGGTGGCCGTTCACCGTCGTTAAGGGGAGCTCGGGCGAGCCGATGCTGGAGGTAAAGAGTGAATTCTTGTCCCTTTTAGCTGGCGATGGCGGAGATCAGATGAAGTTAGGTCAGCAGACACAGGACTGTGTTATGCAGAATAAGGTGGTGAGCTGTTCTCCCGCCTATGGTGGCACGTGCTTGGGGTTTGAGTCCTCTTCCATGGGCAGCGGTGGGCATCAAATTACGCCAACAAGTGCTGTGGCGGAGTCTCAGCGGGAAGAGATCTGTGGATTCTGTGCTCGCAAGAACGTCGGCGCCGGGTCATCTACGGAGGCTGTTGGCACCACTTACCTGGCGCCTGAGCAGATAGTAACGATGCTTCTAGTGAAGATAAAGAGAGAAGCCGAGCGCTTTCTTCGATGCGCCGACCTGCACGCGGCTGTTATTACCGTTCCAGCCCTGTACAACGACAGGCAGAGAACGGCGACCAAGCTAGCGGCCGAGATCGCAGGTTTCTCCGACGTGCAGCTGGTCAGCGAATCAACGGCGGCCGCTTTGTCCTACGCCGAGCACATGGGATTGATCTCCTTGAGCCGCTGTCATGGTTCTTCCGAGGAAACTAACCGGACGGGCACGAGGATGCTTGTGTTTGCGATGGGGGGAGGAAACTTCGAAGTTGCCCTTGTGATGATCTCCCGCGGCCTTGTCTGCGTGGAGTTTGCGGATGGTAATCCCAGTCTTGGAGGCATGGACTTCGACGAGAAGATGATGGAACTGATACTGTATGAGGGGAAGAAGCAGTGGCATCAGACGCCGCCTGAACTGGACAGCAGCACGCTTTGGGGACTGAAGAGAGCGAGCGAGAAAGCAAAGAAGGAGCTGACTCTTGTTAGCGAAGCGCACGTGGAGCTCGAGTTCTTCCGCGGCTTTGACGACCGCAAGCTCATCATCCGCCGTGAAAAATTTGAGGAAAGGTGTAAGAGTTTGCTGGAGGAGTGTATGAAATGCTTCCGTGTAAGGGAAACCCGCAATCGGGGTTTGGATGTGAACGATGTTGTGTTGGCGGGTGGGTCAACTCGCATTCCCAAGGTCTCGCGCACGTTCAGGAAGCGCTTCCACTTGGAGCCCAAGTCCCATCCCCATCAAGACGAAGCCGTTGTCCGCGGCGCAGCCCTCTTTGCTGCTTGCAGCCAACGAGTTACGGAGACTCACCCTCTAAGGACTGGATACCGTGACTGTAGGTACGACGATTTTCTTCTTTGCAAACAGTTGCAGAGGCCGCTGCACCCCCGGGACCACCCATTGCCAGATCTGAGCTCAGGCTGGATTAAAGATCAGCATGGTCAGGTTGCTCTGCGACCATCTGAAATGACAAACGCGCAAGAACATTGTGTGGTTGCTGGTGACGTAGCAATGAGCGTTGGGCGGACTGAGACTGAGGTTACCTCGGTTCTCCCCGTGCTCACGATTGACCGATGCGGGATACTGGGCCTGGACGAGGGACCGGCATCGGTACGAGACAGGCTTTACGAAAACGGCAAACGATCTCCGGATGAGATCGATAGGTGGAGGCATCTTGAGGAGAAGCTCAAGGTGTACGAGCGGAGAATGGCAGAGATGAGCAGTGCCAGGCACCAATGGAGGAAGTACATCAACGAGGTGGAGAAGCAAGTGTCCTCATGTCCGCGCTGGCTGTGGAGCGTTACGTCCGAATGGAAGGATGAGATAGAGCGATGGCTTGCCGAGGAGGCAGATGGTGTTGCAGTGGGTTTGGAGCAATTTACCGAGCGCTTTGAAGAGTTCCAAACGGGGTGCCGATGTGCCTTCGGCGAGTTGTGGGCAAGATCTATGTCGGGAAGGAAGTTCGCAGTGGTCGATTGCTGGGACTCCAACGACGTTGATCAGTGCTTGCAGAATTTTCTTGCGAAGGAGAGGGCAGATCTCTGTGACATCGTCGTCTGTCTTTCATGGAAGGATCTTCGCAAGACAGCGGACCGGATCATGCAAAGATTCGAGGGTATAGATCTCGCTGCAGGCGGCCTGTCGTCCAAGGCCACTCCAGACATGGTTAGGGAGAGCGGGATTTCTTACGTGGTACTGTCGGCTGGTCCCGTAGGGCCGTCTGGCGATCGCGGTCTTCTCTGCTCGGCGTGGAACAAGATTGTCGGTGAGCAGGTTGCAGTAGCCGTGCAAGCCGGTCTTCGGGTCGTACTCTGCCTTGGACGCGATAGCTTTGGAGCTGAGCACAACTGCAATCCGAATAACGAACTGGCGTTGGAGAAGCGGCATTGCGAAGCGCAGCTCAGGGCCATTGTCCGTCCGATCGGCCGCGATTGACGGAACATAGCTATCGCCTATCTGGCTCCAGAGCAGCGTGTGTCTTGGGCATCGACATTGCCAGGAAAAGACGCTGCTATCCTGCCGCAGAACGGAGTACTTGCGCTGAATGACGTAGTCGATGTGGCTCGGCACATAAGACAGGTGATCCGGGATATGGTGAGCGATGAAGCGGCCAGCACAACCTCCATCCTTGTCGGTGGATGCGTGACGCTGAACATGTGGGGCACCATTGTGAAGGAGGAGGAGATTGGGGGCTTGCTTCTCGAACGCGGGTTCCAGGACCCTCTGCTCTTCGACAAACTCCGTCCTCCCAGTCTAGAGAGGACGGGGAAAGTCTTAGTTTGCCGAGACGAAAGTGGAAATGCCAGTCTGGACAAGCGAAACATAGAGCGACTTTGTAAAGTCAGCGAGGACTGGATGGCTGGAGAGGAGGTGGTCTGGATTACTGTAAAGAACGTCATAACCGAAAATAGAGGAGTTTATCGCAAGGAAGAGACTGGAACAGCTGCGATGCTCTGGAGGGAGGGTCATCTAATGCGAGAGGACGAATGCCGAAAGGGGGTAATCAACCGGGGTACTAAGCTGAAGATCATCTCCATTTTCGAGAACAACCATGGAGAGCAGCGAGGTAAGGCAATAGAGGGGCAACTTTCAAGCTGGGAGGAGACGCTGAAGAGAGCTGGTGTTGAAGGGGAGGGGATTGTGGTCGAGTACTGGCCTTCCACAAGTGAAGGCATAGGTCCTCATTATCTTCCTGCGGCCATCGAGACCGCTCACTCTCGCATCCGAAGGTGGATTTTGACGAATATCGGCCCCGACGTGGCGCAAGGGGCGCAAATTGTTTGTTATCTTGACGAGCTAACGGAAGAAAAGCAAACACACAGAGAAATCACGAAGCAACCGAACGTAGATGGCCTAAGCCTGCGACTCGAAGTGGCGGCCGCGGCATCAGCCCTTGATGCACTGGGCCCGCCACCTTCATCAACGAAGGAGCCCGTGATTGTCCTCGTCACCGGAGCAACGAGCGCAGTTGGACGTGCTCTTCTTCCTTTGATAGCAATGGGCCGTTTACTTGGACCCGACCAACCAATCATTCTGCGGATGCAGGAGGACGAGTCGAGCATGGACTTGTTGAAAAGAGTGCGGAAGGAGGTGTTGAGTGCTGCCCCCACTTTACTTCGAGGAATCACGGCAACCGTTGACGTCGATCAGGCGGCAATAGGCGTGAAGGTGGCTTGCATACTTGGTGACGGGTCCCCATCGCAGAGGGAGAAAAGCACGGAGGAGGTCATCAGAGCCAACGTGGCCATTTTCCAGAAATTGGCTAAGGCCTTGGAGAGAAAGGCCGATAAGGACGTGAAGGTTGTGGTCGCTGCCCATCCGGCAAACACAAGTGCGTTCATCATGAAGGAGTGCGCGCCTGGGATTAAGAAAGAGAACATTACTTCCCTGACGAGGGTCGACCATAACCGGGCACTGGCACAGATCGCTCAGCACGTTGATGTGCCTGTCATGGATGTGAAAAACGTCATCGTTTGGGGAGGCCAGTCCGTGTGGAAGTACACAGATGTGAACCATGGCTCATTAAAGACAGCGGAGGGGGTTGAAAAGAGCATGAGGGAGATGGTTGGTGACGATAACTGGCTTGCTGAACAGTTCATGGACAGCATCTGGAACCAGGACGTGGAGATCGACACTGCTATGTCTGTTGCTAGCGCTGTCTGCGATCATGTGTCCAACTGGCAAATGGGAACGCCAGCTGACACGTGGGTGTCGATGGGAGTGCCTTCGGACGGTTCATACGGTGTCCCTCTAGATCTTGTCTATTCCTTTCCCGTGTGCATACAAAACAGTCGCTGGCACATCGTATCTGGTCTTCAGATCGACGGGCTCTCAAAAGAGAAGATGAATGCCGGGGTTAGCGGACTAGTCCTCGAAGCAGACTTAGCGCGCTCTATCATTACCGGAACTGCTTTCAAACCTCAGGAAGAGGAAGGTTCACCTGGACCTCTGTGCGTACCGAAATGCCCAGCTCAGTTGGTATACGCTTCAACTGTTGAAATACAGACCTGAGTTTGAATTCCCATGGCTTTATATGAGTAAAAACTAACTCTGAATTACTCTGAATCACTCTGAGTTACTCTGAATGACTGATGGCTTCAGATGAGTGAAAACTAGCCCTGAATTACTCTGAATTACTGATGGCTTCAGATGAGTAAAAACTAACTCTGAATTACTCTGAAGTACTTTGGATTTACCTGGGGCCGGTTAGTTCACAGATGAAATTTCAACGCCTCCGCCCTCTTGAAGAAAATCGTTATAACTGGCCTAGCTCAGATGGTAAGGCACGCAATTGGCATTCAGGAGGTCTAGGCTTAAATTCGGGAAAAGTCATAAAACCTCCCCCCGAAGAAAGTTCACGAAACCCTTGAATGCATTTCCCCCCAAACGGGGAAAAAGGTGCCGCATTAGGCGTTGTTTTTGCACCCTGCAAAACACTTTCCCGCCATTTTTACACAGCGGCCGTTAACGGCCCAGCCAGGGTGCAAAAATGACACCAAAAGTGATTTTGGGACCTTCGGCACTTTTTTCCCCGTTTGGGGAGAAATGGATACAAAGGCTTCGTCGTGGGGATGTTTTATTACTTCTCCCCTTCAATTCCCATTGGCCTCATGTACCTTCCTGGGCAGGCTTGGCGCGCGCCACGTAGGACTCGCCTACTCGGGTCCCCGGAGTGGCATTGAGC